ATAATGGAACTTTCCCTGGAGTTTCAACATGCCACTTGTACTTGAAGGAAATGAAGTGAGGAGGCTCTCCCTGTCAGAGTATTTTACTTTCACCAACACTACTTTGGCAGCTCCTTTTATTGAAATATATTATTAATTCCCAAATGTATTTTTCTTGGTGACTTCTTTCAAGAAATAAAAGTGTTTTGGAAACAATCTAAACAGTATTTTTATGAAGGGTCAAGTGAGTCTTCTCTCTTTTTGGAACATTTTACAAATGAGTATCTACTTCTTGTTATTCTCAGACCCCAGCACTTTACTGTAAACATTATACACTGGCTCTATGAATGCCAAATTCACAAGAAAGAACAATCACAAGTTTAAGCATTTTACCACGAATTAGAAATTATTACAAACAAATTGTATTTAACAAAATATGAAATTACAAAATCAGTTCTCTGGCATTTATTTACTAAATTGGCAAAAACCTGAAAGAAGATTGAAAAAAACAAAATAAAGAAAAAATGAATAGTAGGCAAGAAGAAAGAAACTCATTTATAAAAAGAAAAAAAAATCACATTAGTTAGAAATACAAATAAAAAATGCAACAACTGGCACTTCGTGAGGCTGAGGTGGGAGGACTGCTTGAGGACTGGAGTTCAAGACCAGCCTGGGCAACACAGTGAGACCCTGTCTCTAAAAACATAAAAATAAATGCAAAAACTGGCCAGGTTTAATAGAAATATAAGAACATTGGGAAGATAAGAACACTGGGGAGATAGCTATTCTAATATCCTAATTCTAGACAGTCTGTTGTACCTTAAAAACTCACAAAAACTGTATTTTGCTTTTAGTTCACTTAGAACCAGATGGCAATATGCTAGAAGCTCACACATAATCTTCACCCTACTTGTTCTTGGTAAACTAGAAAGCATGCATGGGTACCTAGAAAAGTTACTTAGGACTATGTCAAAACTGGAATGTTGCTTTTGTGAAGCCAAACTGCATTTGTTTGGCTCTGGGTGTAACAAGTTAATACTGAAGTTTTAAAGGATTTTGCGGACCCTTGCTTGTGCTGGTCTCTAAATGTACCAGTCCAAAAGCAGAATTTATATGCTGAAACACTGTAAAGTAAATTCTAAAAAGAGCTTAGTAAAATTGCTTTAAAAGATTTACTTTACTTTTAAAAGCATCTGTTGCTCCAGGTGCATGGTTTTTGTCTGGATGAAACTTCAAAGCAAGCTTTCTATAAGCTTTTTTCAAATCTTCATCACCAGCATCTTTCGTAACTCCAAGTACTTCATAGTAATTTTTACATTTGTTTATGCTGTGAACAAGAGAGTGTGTTATAATGTAAATTCCAAGGAAGAAGGTCATGTAATATCTCTAATTTTCAATTTATTAGAAAAGTACAAAGAACTATCTATCTGTGGATTGCTTTCTAAAATCTAATGATGGCTTATCCCCTTTAAGGGTCAGTTTACTTCATTCTCTTTTCTGACCATAGTTCATTCCCCCAACCTCTTCCCAAGTCTAAGAAGGGTAAGCCATGAGAATGTTCTTAGCGCAATTTATCACTACAGAGAAGTAAAGCAAAGGCCATGACAATTGTGGATGAAGGACAGAGTATACTCTGTAACTAAAATGAGAAGATAAGAACAATTTTTTAGTACTCTTATGTGGATAAAGAAATTCCGAAACTTGAAAGCATGCTGCAGTTAAGAACAAATTTGCATCACATTCAAGAATTTTGTTGCTGAATAATGTAGATCTAATCAAGTATCAAAGCAATAGTTTAGTACAAGTAAAACAACTGTAGAATCCTATGGTTTAAATTTCAAGGTAAGTTAGCCTGATTATGCTAAGAACTTATCTGTGTCACACTCTGAAA